GTCTTTCTAAAAGAATATTATGGTCAACTGTATCAAATGCAGCACTAAGATCCAACAGGACGAGCACAGATACAAGTCCATTATCTGAGGCCATGAGAATATCATTAGTGACTTTCACCAGAGCTGTTTCAGTGCTATGATGAGCTCTAAAGCCAGACTGAAACTCTTCAAAAAGTTCATTATGGTGGAAGTGATCGCAAACTTGTTTGGCAACTACTTTCTCAAGAATTTTGGATAAGAAAGGAAGATTGGATATAGGTCTATAATTGACCAAGTCATCTGGGTCAAGAGACGGTTTCTTAAGCAGAGGTTTAATTACAGCAACCTTAAAAGCTTTAGGTACATATCCCTGTAACAGAGATAGATTAATCACATCTAAAATGGAGGAGGAGATCAAAGGGAATACCTCCTTAAATAACCTGGTTGGAACTGGATCTAACATACAAGTTGAAGGCTTAGATGAAGACAATAATTTTGCTAATTCAGAGAGTTCAACTGGATCAAAGCAGTCTAAACCCGGTTCAGATTCCATGACTACCTCAGGTACAATCGCGGATAGAGGAGTGCTTATGATCTTATTTTTAATAAGATCAATCTTATTTATAAAGAATCCCATAAAGTCATTGCTGCTAAGAGCAGGTGGAATGGACGGTTCAACAGAGCTATGGCTCTGGGTGAGTTTGGCAACTGTATTAAAAAGAAATCTAGGATTATTCTTATTCTCCTCTATTAATGAGGAGAAGTATGCTGCTCTTGCTTTACAAAGGGTCCTCTTATACAGCAGTAAACCATTTTTCCAGACTAGGAAGGACTCTCGCAGGCCTGTGGAGCGATATTTTCTCTCCAGTTTCCTAGCATTTTGCTTCAAAGTACGCAGCTCTGCATTAAACCAAGGAGCAAGCTTTCTATTTTTAACGGTTTTCATTTTCAAAGGAGCGTTGTCTAAGGCAATACGCAAAGAACTAGCAACCCCATCAACAAAATCATCAACCTGTGAAGGGGAATAAGCTAAGCTTTTGCACTCTGCAGCACTGCTCAGTGACACAGAGCAGAGAGAAAGTGAAGCAGATTCTTTAAAATTTATAACTGCACTATCTGATAAAGATCTACTAAAATTGAACCTTCTTTTGGGGGAGGAGAACTCTGTTAAAGTAATCCTGAAGGTTATTAGAAAGTGGTCAGAGAGGACAGGGTTGTGAGGAAATACTGTTATTTCTTCACATTCTATGCCGTATGTCAGCACAAGATCCAAAGTATGAAGATGAGAATGCGTGGGACTATTCACATTTTGAACAAAGCCAATAGTGTCTAAGATAGCATTAAAGGCTGCTCTTAAGCTATCGCCTTCAATGTCAGCATGGATGTTAAAATCTCCCACTATGATGACCCTGTCAGTATTTAATACCAAATCAGAAAGGAACTCTGAAAACTCATCTAAAAATTCAGAGTAAGGACCTGGTGGACGATACAAAGTTACAAAAAGAAGAGGTTTTCTTGCCTTGAAATTTGGATCAGGGAAATTAAGGGTTAAATGTTCAAAAGAGTTGTAGGTATTAACTGTTTTGGGAGTAATCAGTAAGTCAGACTGGAAGATTGTTGCTACTCCTCCTCCTCGCCCAGAACTTCTGGGGATGTGAAAATTTAAATAGCTTGAAGGAGTTGCCTCATTTATGCTCACATAATCCTCTTGCTGCAGCCAGGTTTCTGTAAGGCAAAACAAGTCAATGTGATTATCACAAATCAAGTCATTAACTAGTAGACTTTTAGAGGAAAACAGGACCACATTCGTTTAATCAGAAACGTCTCCAGCCTGAACGCCTCTCATTGCAGGTCATCTTTTTACGCCTTCAACCACTTTAAGACTTATTTTAGGTGTAAACTTCCAAAGCTCCTAAATTAGTTCTAACTTAGCCCTGATAGGTGTCTATAAGCTGAATACTATGACTCATCTCCATGGGCTTTATAAACTAATAATAATAATAATGAAACCAATGAAAACAGCTTTTTCAGAAGAACATTTCTGACTTCTTTGTTTGAGGTTTTTGGGGTTTTTTTTTACATTTATTTGGGTTTTTCTTATTAACCAGGTGACCTTGTTCTTAATTTCCGCTCTGCACTGAAGGAGCTTTTATCCAGACTTAGATTATACATTCATGCTAACAGCATGGCAGCGTTTTATGAGACATCTAAGTGCTGCAGGTTTTATTTCTACATCCTTGTAGGTGAATAGGTTGGAGAGACTCAGCAGGGGCCTGTCATCTCTGCTGATGCTTATTGTTGCGCTGGCATATGGGAGCACTTAAAAGCATAGGAGGAAAGCACTTTTATTTATACGACGTAGCGATGTATCATTGTGATCATGTGCACCTTGATGGGGTGGCCGAAACCTTCACGGCACAAATCGATTTCACCTGCAAATGTCATCTCCAGGAACAAAGCTGCTGAAACAGATGTTTGAATAGCTTTCTGCTTAAAACCTAACGCTGCTCTGAGGCCAAAACTTTAACATTAAAGAAAATATTTAACGGCGTGTTCTGGTGGTTCATAGTGACCTGATCAATCAAAGTAGGAACCGAGCACCAATTCTAAGAAATACAACTATTGCTGTGAACGAAGACGATAAAATAAAACTGAGAAGCAAGTGAAAATAATTTTTTAACCTTGAATTTCTCTAAAGGGTCATCAATTCTATTCAATTCTCTTATATTCAGTTTATTTCTATTGATTCACATCATGTCATCTCAGGTCACTTTCCAGTTCACCAGATCATCCAGTCAGATTGATTCAAAGTTTTCTATCTAAGGAAAACCAGCTGATTGCATCGACTCATTGACTCTTCAGCAATCCCTCACACTAAGCATGCTTGTAGCGACAGTGGAGAGGAAAAACTCCCTTTGAACAGGAAGAAACCTCCAGCAGAACCAGGCTCAGTGTGAGCGGCCATCTGCTGAGGCCGACTGGGGTTCAAGGAGACAGAAGCAGACATAGAAAAAGAAGCATAGATACAAAAGGCAACTGTTTCTTCCTGTTTAAAATATTTCATCTCTTTCTAAATACATATTTTAAATACATAAAAACACTGTTGTTCCATGATCCCATAGTTTGATCCATAAGAGCCAATACTGAGAAGTAGGAGGTGGAGAATAGAGCAATGAGCAGCAACTGATCAGATTCATGGATGGGATTTGGGTCCAGAAATGTTCACTAAAGGTCAGATACTTCAGCTTCCAGAGATGACGCCAAGAGCAACATGTTGTCCTGGTTTTCCAGAACAGACGTTGCCTCCACCACAGAGGAGACTAACTTTGCTGCTCTGCTATAGATGTTTCAGGAGCTTCTGAGCAACTCAGGAATATTTTCCAAAGTAAAACCCATCCTGGAACCACAGCCTGAACACAGTGGAGGGTATCAGTGCTTAAACGCATCTGATAGGGCCTCTCAAGGCAAACTAGCCAGATAAAGATCGGTTCGACGGAGCCCGGGCCCCCCGGGGGCCCACAACCAGCTGGTGGGAACCATGAAGGACTGGTGCTAAAAGTTCCCCCTAAAGTAGACCAGAATATTAGATAGAATATTGTAGGAGCTAAAGCAGTGTTGGTGCATCAGACCTAAAACAGCGCCTGGTGTCTAGGCTCTTGAACATGAGGAATTGATGGAGTTAATTATGGGCTAACGTGTGAGAGGCTTTAGCTTTTACCTTGCTATGAAACTCAGTTTCCTGTCAGAGGCTGGACTCTCCTGAGTTGGTCTTCATCCCAGTGGACAATAAAGACTCTGGTTGTATTTGGCCCATGGGCATCAGGTCTTCTTAGCTTTCCAGACAGGGTGCTAGATAGGTGATGCCTAGTGGGGGGTGAATGGGAGGAACACCCACCTCATTCTGAACCGACTGGGTTTCATTATTGGACTTGTGGGCAGGTCAGTGATCGTCCATCACTAACAACATAAAATTGAACTTTCAGTGGGTCATTTAGCAACACGACATCCTAGGCCAAAGGTCAGAGATCAACTCAGCTCCTCTCTTGGATGCTCGGGTGGAGGGAGGGGCAGAGCGGTCCATCGATCTCCACCTGGTAGCGAGTAGTCAGGGTCTACTTGGAATGATTGGCAGATCTTTGGTCAGGGAAAGCTAGCAGCAAACACTGTCTGAGATTATTGGGGATCCTGAGGACATAGAGTGGACCATCTTCTCTGCCTCACTGTCCATCCATAGCTCTGCACTGTCTGTTATGGTGATAGCAGCCAACCCAGCGCTGCATTCTGACAGGAAGTGATGTCGCCAAGCTGAAGGAGCCTGGTCCATTTGTTAACACCTGATGTTACAGACAGGTAACCCTCCTGTTATACCTTCCATGGTGGAAGTTGGCCTGTTTACTTCTCAGCCTGAAGTCCCTGAGGTGGTAAAAAAAAACTCACTATAAGCTCCACGGTGGAAAGGCTTCCTCTCTGCCTACTTTTAAAACTTTCATTTTTTAATAAAGTTTATTGTTAAAAACAGAGTAATGTTAGTCGCTGGATGAGTAAGAAAGTAGAAGCACGTGAGGTGAACTTCTTGGCTCTACCTTCCCCATCTCATCCTTAAAAGTTCTGTTACTTATTATTATTACTATTTTATTATTATTATTATTTTATTATTATTATATACATAGATAGATATATGATAGATGGATATAAATAGATTATTGTTCATCTTAAGTCCTTTTTTTTACTTTTTTTTCCATTTTTCTTGTTTTTTTTCTTTTTCAGTTTCAGTTCCTTTTCAGTAAAAATTCAGATGTTTTAAACTCCAGTTTAGCCTAATTTGTTTATAAAAGACACGATGTATATATTAGGTTTTAATCCCATTTAGGCACAGAAAGTGTTCAGAAAGGTGAACCAGCAGCAGGTTAATCTGCTCTCAGTATCAGATTATCAATCTGCTGTCCGCTCTGACATCACCGCCGCTTTTTAACACTTTTTTTTTATTGAAGACTAAATAAATAAATAAAGGAAGTGAGGAAGTGGCGCCTGCTGGCAGCTCAGTGAGCCTCTGTGAGCGCAGCGCGCGGCGCGGCTACCTGCGCTCAGATTGGGATTAGGATTGATGAAGGGCTTGAATTAGAGACGGCTGCTGGTCTCGCTGCGGGACGTTTAGGATTTGACGCCTCAGGGGCTGCAGACGATGCCTGTCCGGGGATATTCAGCCGCTTTTCTTCCTGTGTCTCTGAGGGTATTGCTTCTTGTGCTCGCAGGGTCTCCGGTCCAAAGCCAGGAGGATTCTCAATCCGACAACAAAGTGATGGACAACATCACCGCCCGGCAAGGAGAGACGGTCTTCCTCAGGTAGGAGTCCATGCATGTCTCTGCATTGCTCCCTGCATGCTGAAGGCAGCGCAGAGCTGCACGGAGGGACATGCACCCCCCACCCCCCCATCTACTAACCTGACATGCAGAGTGGAAGCAACCCCCCCCCCCCCCCCCCCCCCAACCTGGGTTTACTGGGGTGATGGGATTAGAGCCAGAAAGAACAGTAGCCTGCTGCTAATCCCAGACAGCTGTCAGCAACATGCTGCATGTGTCACTATGCAGAGGGGGGGGGGGGCGGGGTCATTATTTCTAAGAAGATAATGGGAGGGGGGGCTGACCTTTCCCCTCCTCCCACCCTGAGCCTTGCTGAACTGATTTAGTTTCCCTTCAGAGCTGCTGCTGATCAGGAGCAATAATCACTGCAGCTATAAGGAAACAATATCAAAAATAAAATAACATTTAAGAATTTAATCTAAAAACTCAGAGGAAGCTTTAAATCAAACGGTTCATTTCCTTAATTCTGGGGAAATGGCTCCATGTTGTAACTCAGCTTCACTTTATTCATAGAGCAGCTCTGGGTTTTTATTGCATCTGAGATTAATTAATCTTGAAAGTAAAAAACTTTAAATTTTGCTTGTTTCAGCTGAATTATGTCTAAACCAAGTCTCTGTGCGTTAATCTGGATAAAGATCAGATGAGAAATGAGGAGGAGGAACATTGCTATTCCTCTTATAATTATCAAATCATCTTATTCCTGCTCTTCATAATTCATCCTCACTGGCATGCAGCTGTTAAACCATTTATAGATTAAAGTTTTTATTTTCTCTGCAGCCCTCAGTCTGTCAGTTTGTCCTCAGCTGGAAGCTAAAGCGCTAAAGAGGCTCGTTGTTTATTTGGTTCACGATGCTGAAGCCTGGAAACTCGTCTGACCTGCATGTTTCACAGTAGTTCAGATTAGAGCTGGAACTGTTCATCAGATTAATCGATTATTCAAATAATTGTAACTAATTCAGTAATTGATTAATCGTTACCTGGAATATAAAGACTTTAATACTGACAGAGCGACCCGCTGAGAGCTAGCCTGGGTGCCAGTCAGAACTTAGTCCCGCCCACAAAGTTTGAGGTCGGGGAAGTTCGGTCTGGCTCTGCTCCATAGTAGCGCGAGTATTAAAGCCCACTGTCAGGCGATCCAATCCAATTGTCAGGGCGGGCTTTATACGATGATGGACAGATGATCAACAGTAACGTAATCAACCACGTGACCAATGCGCGCTTGGGTGACAACAACAATGGCTGCCGCTGGAGATTTGAGGTGAGTAGATTCTGCTATTAGGTCTGTTCTAGAAGATATCGACAGCAAATTCATTTTAAAAGAGGAACAGAGAAACGCGATCAAGGCTCATCTTCTTATTCTAGGCGTGCAACTGCACGCTTTGATTTTTGTGGACAACAACTATGCGTCGCTTAACATACGTCACGCACTCCGTTGCTCTTATTGGTTGTAGGTCTATCCAATTGAGTGCAGAGGCATTTTTTTTCCTGGTTCGTTCGAAACACGCCCCATAATCACAGCTCTATAGAGCAGCATCAGACTCATTCTGACTAGAATTGAGTTGGACTAGTCAGGCTAGCTGAGAGCAGGAATTATAGCAAATATGTTAAACTAATGTGTAAACATTTTGCATTTAGAATAAAAATATTTTCCATCTATAAATATGATCTATAATCCAGAACTCCTTAGTGGAAAAGTTTCAGATTTCTTAAATTTCTTAGATTTCTTAACAAACCTTCTTTAAGGAGCTTTTTGTTCACTGATTATTAATTGAAAAAATAACGCATTAGCAGGCGTTTAGCTGCGAAAGCTACCGGCTAGCTATGCTAATTAGCGTTAGCTCGACTTTGAATAATTAGAAAATTCACATTCTGTTTGTGTTTGTTTCTTTGTTTATTAAAACCATCGCTATGGAAACGGGACCAAAAACCTGAGCCACAGTGCAACTCTCACTGTGATTGGTCAAGCCCGTTGCCATGACAATGCCAGCCCAGTTACTGAGAGAGGAGGAGTTGTGCTCCTGCAGCAGATGGAAAGGAAAATATTGAATGAATGAATGTTTGAGTAAAAATGTCTGCTGGTAGAAATTTCACACGAACTCAGATAGATCTACGTCAGAAAGATCTTTATTTCCACAGTTTCTCACATCATAGATGTTCACACCCAAAACACAAGCTGGGATATTTTCAATCATATCAGCCTTTCATCAAAAAAAAAAAAACTCCTCGAGGTGTCGTGCCACCTGAGGCCTGTAGCTGGCGCCGTGCGCTGAGTACAAACCAACCGTGATGAAGAAGCTCAGAGCCGCGATCTGGGAGTTCATTCAGAGTTTGCTTCAACAAACATCAACCATCATCTCTATATTTCAGTCAGATGGAGAGACGAGACCTGATGTGTTATCAGCATAAGAAAGGATTTTATCAGCCAGACGGCCCAGAGGAATATTACTGGTTATGCAGAATCGGATTATTTCTATCGCATCTCTCTGTTATGCTTCCAGTCTTTCCAGTGTTTGTCAGCTGCTCTACCAGAGAAACGTTGGATTTGTTTAAAGCAAAATGGCTTCTGGGCAAATCTGATCACAGCCTTGTTTTCTTTGCGTGCAGAATAAAGCTAACAGAAAACCTGAAATACAGAAAGCTGAGCAGATGCTGACGGGATGGGGGGGCTAAGCTTTATCAAAAAGGAAAGTTTTAAGCCTGGCCTTAATTGCCTCACAGACTAAAACTGACTGGGCAGAGAAACAGGACTACACTGGAAAACAGGCCAAGCTCCAACATCTAGAAACAAAGGTGTTGATGGCAGCAGCACAGCTGATATTTCTCTCCAGGATGGAGTCACAGCCAAACAGGAACAGACCAGATGAAGCTACTATGAGAAAAAGCAGAGAGAGCAGAACGTTAGAGATTGAACTAACAGATTCTGCAGAGTGGGAGAATAGAGATAGAATGAAGCAGAATGATGAAAAAGGGGTCCCTATGTCCTCCAGCAGTCTAAGCCTATAGCAGCAGAACTGTAGAGATAGATCAGGATAACCTGAGCCACTCTAACTAGCTTTATCAAAAAGGAAAGTTTTAAGCCTAGCCTTAAAAGTAGACAGGGTGTCTGCCTCACGGACTAAAACTGGTAGTTGGTTCCACAGGAGAGGAGCCTGAGAACTAAAAGATCTGCCTCCCATTCTACTTTTAGAAATTCTAGGAACCACTAGTCTCTTTTTCATTTTCATCAGAACTCTGGCTGCAGCATTTTGGATCAGCTGAAGGTGTTTTACTGAATTTATCAAACTTCCTGATTCTTTTATTACCAGAAGGTCATTTAATGTCACCTAGACAGACTTTTTTTAACAACTGCGAGATGAACAAGTTGTTTTTATGGTTGTTTCTAACTTTCCTCAGGATTCATGGAGAAATCTGCTTTATTAAATAATAACTTCAGGCAGAAAGCAGAACTGGTGTTCTGAACTAAAAATGGGGAAATAATTTTAAATGAAATAAATCTAAAGAGTAAATGTGTGGTTTTGATTGGTATAGAAATAGTTTTGTAGACCGAGGAAACAACCAAATTCCTCCAAGGACGGCGTATAATGAATGTGGCCCCCTGGCCAACGTTGGCCCTCAGCCTCAGCAGACACTTATCAGGCAGCGCAGACCGAGCTGCAGCTAAAAGCCTCACAATGCTAACAATGAGTGGCCTGATCAGCCTGTTGCTTTTCAGGCTGAATGCTTCGTAGCTTTGCTCCCATGAGCAACAGGCTTTTCTTTGCTCTGATATTTCCTTTGTTTCTTTGCATTCATGGGTCTGTGTTCTCATTGTGAGCGCGCAGTCCATCAGACAGGCAGGGTTTTCAGGTGCCGTCTTACAGCTGAAGCGTCAGGAGGGAATGTGTTTAATGTCGCCGTGAGTCAGGAGCTGAGATTGCAGAGGCAGCCCTCTGCGTTTGCAGAAGAAGTGGAATCTGTAATTCCATTATTCCTCTACTTCCTGTGACTCTGAAGCCGTTTATTTTGGGCGTTTTAACCAATAATGAGTTAATTTCTGTCTGATTTAGATCACATTCTTCCCGTTCTGAGTTTCCTCCTCAGCAAACCTGGAGGAGCTGCTCTGATCATCCACTGGATCAGGTTTCATTCATCTTGGTTCTCTTTTTGTTCCCTAACTGTCGAGGGCAGAGATGACCACCACTGTTGGAGGCTCCCCTGGATGTTTGGGGAGCTGCTGTGATGGAGGGGAAGAGGCCAGCCCCTCCACCGGGGATGAGGCAGAAACTAGAAACATAGTCATCGTCTAGTAGTCAGTGTGCTAAAGTATTAATAACAAATTTCACTAATTTATTCGATTATTGACAACTAGTAACCCCATCAACAAAATCATCAACGTGTGAAGGGGAATAAGCTAAGCTTTTGCACTCTGCAGCACTGCTCAGCGACACAGAGGAGAGAGAAAGTGAAGCAGATTCTTTAAAATGTATAACTTCACTATCTGATAAAGATCTACTAAAATTGAACCTTCTTTTGGGGGAGGAGAACTCTGTTAAAGTAATCCTGAAGGTTATTAGAAAGTGGTCAGAGAGGACAGGGTTGTGAGGAAATACTGTTATTTCTTCACATTCTATGCCGTATGTCAGCACAAGATCCAAAGTATGAAGATGAGAATGCGTGGGACTATTCACATTTTGAACAAAGCCAATAGTGTCTAAGATAGCATTAAAGGCTGCTCTTAAGCTATCGCCTTCAATGTCAGCATGGGTGTTAAAATCTCCCACTATGATGACTCTGTTAATGTTCAGGAAAGCTCTGTTTCTCCACCTTGAAGCTTTCTCTCTCTTCGGGTCTTTTCCAAACAACAGATCACTCGGGAAAAACTCTTTAAATACGTCTTTATAGTGTATATTTATTAAATCAAGACCTCGTAAAATTAGTTTTTACCTGAGAGAAAATTAGAATCTCCTGCTTCTACCTGCTTTTCCAGGAGGAGCAAATCCTAC